TGGAGGTGCGTGCCTAAAGCGCCGCCATCTTGGAACAGGGCTAGCAGAGGCAGCGGTCAATCTTCGCAAATATTCGCTGAATTTTGGATCGATTTCCAAACGTATTGATTTGTTAAAAACGTCACACATGTAGCTATGATACAGAGTGCTTGGATATTTTAAAACTGCTGGTTTTACTACCCAAATACAAATTGTACTTAATGTTATCAGCAGACGAGCTTCCGACAGAAGATTTGTGAATGAAAAGATGCCGGACTTCTGTGCCGCGTATGGATGCTCTCATGAGCGGAGCATACAGACCAGATCTCGTGGGATCACTTTCCACAGGTAAGATGTAAGTAAGGGATAATCTATAGTGAGAGCAGGTTGTTGTGTAGTGAAACAAACCCTGACCGGACGGACAGAACCCCTCAGGTTCGAGTCCGGGTTCTAGTATCCATAGAACCAGTTCCAGAAGAACAGACCTACACTGCAGTGATTGGTCGGTGGGAATACAGCAGATCGTAGAGCTGATACATTGATTATTATTATTATTATTATTATTATTATTTTATTGCTCTATGAGATGGAATTAGTTTTTGTTGTAGACAATTCTTTATCTCTCGCTCCGTTTCTCACATTTTTAAGGTTTCCCAAAGACAACAGTCTAAAGAGACAGTGGGAACTGGCAGTGAAACGGGAAGGTTTTGTGGCAGCTGAGAGGTCCTTGCTCTGCAGTGAGCACTTCAAGCCAGATGACTTTGACCGAACAGGGCAAATTGTCAGGCTGAGACATGGAGTCAAACCATCTGTCTTTAACTTTCCATCTCATTTACAAAAGGTATGTGCGCCATTTGGCTAAACAATTCATTAGTTTCTACAATTCATATGTCCATGTAAGCATTTGATAGCTACTTAATGCCACAATTCTTTAAACTTTTTTTCTGTCTGCATGTTTAGGAATAAAGTACACTACACTTTCCGATGCCAAAAACCTTTTTAAAATGTTATATTATGTTTCTTACATTTTAGCAAGTACCATCAAGGACAACAAAAGCCTCAAGGACAGCAGAAGAAAGCCTTCCAGTGGACTTGCCTCAGCATTTCCCTGAAGCTGAACCTTATTCTAATGTTGTGAGTATTTGCATGTAATGTTTTTCAAACACATGAGAGCATCAATACCCTGGTCATATTAAAACCTGTACCGCATTTGCTCTCTGCCACTCATTTTAGACACACAGTACACATTTACACATACTGTAGTGTGTTATGTCCCTGTTAATAAGACGCTCATATCCAGGGTGCAAACAGTGGGACTGAGGGATGAAATTAAGAATGTGGGCCAGCTACATCAGTGAGTGATGAGTTATAAACATCACTATATATTTTCATCCCTCTTTCCACTAGGACCACAATTATGCTTTGCCTGCTTCTCCCACTGTTCTAAAGGCCAAACTTAGTGAAGCTCTGGCTAGAGTGGAGAGTCTGGAGCGCGAGAAGAGGAATAGCATGATCCGGGAGCGAAGGGCGAAGAAAAATGTGCATGCTCTTCTCAAGGATCTGAGGGGGAAAAACCTCATAAATGAAGAGCTGAAAGACAGGCTTGAATGCTACTCAGGTAAAATGGAAATACTAATTTGAATATTTTATATAGGTAATTTATGCTTAGAGTCTGTGTTAAACTCTCTTTCTTCTTATTTAAAGGGATCTTACTAATAAGTTTATGCTTACTGAATTTCAGATCTTCGGGTAGACCTCTTGTGGCGGATTTCAGAAGGGAGAGAGTTCCAAAGAGTGGGGGCTGCGACACTGAAGGCTCTGTCACCAAAGGTCTGTAGTCTGGTACAGGGGATGGAGAGATATGTATGATACTGTGTTAACATCATGCAGGCGTATTGCATGTTCTTGTTTCAAGTTGTCCCTTTTCCGGTTCAATAATGTTCCTATAGATGGTTCAGCATCCTAAAAGAAAATAAGGTTTGCAAACCTGTAAGAAGCACACAGTAATTTTGTTCCCAGTAAATTGGTAGTACAGTTTACCCACAATGGATGCCACCTAAGCAAAAGATCTATGACTGTGGCTATCCCTGTCACCCATTGTTGTTTCACATCTGATGGATATGGTGGCAAAATCAATTTACCTCCTTTCAATGAACAAAATTTCTAGGTGCTTCCTCGAGGTGTCTTTGTTTTAATACAATCAGGGAAATAAAACTTTTTCTTTTGAAGGTACCCTGATGCTGATGATTCCTGAGCTGCTCCAAGTCCAGCGGTATGTTTGCACCTACCGGTTCAGCCAAGATCACTTGGAGCTTCTCTTTAATTCAATCAGAGCATCAGGTAGGGTTCACATTTTACAGCCTTTAAAAAAACAATAAGAAAAGATCTGTGGTGTAATTGTAGTGTGTGGGTGTGTGTTGTTTTTTTTCCTTAAGGGGGCTGGAACAACAATCCCTCTGCCGGCCAGTTCCAGGGCATCTTCCAGCGTCTAATGGTCCGGTGTGGTGTCTCACCAAGTGGGCTAGGCAACGTGGAAGCACAGGATGACACAGCGTCTCTGTCTGCTGTCCAGATGTCCTCTGCCGAAACTGCAGACGAACTCCCTTCCCCGTTTGTTAACTTTGCGGCCCTCGTGTGTGACCACAGCTACCTTCCCACGCGCTTTGGTGGTCTTGTGGACAATGCTCTGGTCTACAGCGCAGGGTTTTGTGTTTGTGGTTCGGTAGGTTCTAAGAAGGCTCTCTTACGATGTGTGCCGTGCCAGCCTGGTGACAGACGGCGTACACTCTTCACATGATAAGAGCTACCACCTACTTGTGCTCAAAAATAATGGTGGGCTGATGATTCCATCAGAAGGCACAGTCAAGGTGGTGAGAGCAGCAGAGCGGGTGATTCGCCAGGTCCACTCAGAGCAAGCTCCTAAAGTGTCAGTGGTCATGCATGTGGTCCGTGAGGAGATTGGCACAGATGATGTGTTTTTGCTCGGGGAACATACTGGAGACACACAATTTGGCATTGACAACCACCATTCTAACCTACTAAAACTAGTGGTGTCTGTGTTCCTCAAAATTAGGCTGCACCACATTGCAAAACTTACCTCACTAAAATACCAGAGTGGCAGCACAAGAAAGAAACTGGAGGGATTGTTAATCTTCTTTCTCTTGAATATTTCAAAGTTCTGCCACTTAACCCTCTGGTAATTCAAAGAACCTGTTTAGTTTGAATATTTGGAATCAATCAGATCACTTAATTAGTAGAGATGGTGATACTGATCAGGGGGTGGTGGGAGTTTAGGAGCTGGACAGCCACGAGGAACAACTGTGTCCTGCAGCGTGCAACAAAGTCTGAGTCCTCAGGGGAGCCACTCAAAAAAAATGGAAAGAATGTGATGGATCCTGTAAGTTCCTGCGAGCTGTTCTGACGGTCTGATATTCAAAAAGGGTAGAGACAGCAGATCCTATAATAATAATATGATGATGATGATGATGATGATGATGATAATAATGATTGATATATTATAATAATAATAACAATAATAATATAATATTAATATATTAATGATAGCAATAGCAATAATTATAATACTGGTAATAAAAATAATATAATGATAATAGTAATAACAATAACAAAATAATAATAATAGTTATATATATATATATATAAACTATTATTATTATTATTATTATTATACTAAAATGCAATGTATACCCATCAAGCAATGCTTTAAATAAAGACCTGAACACACCTGAACGTTCTCTGGGTTCTTTTCGTTGTCTGTCTGTGTTGCTGTCTGTCTGTCTGTCATGTCTGACGTTTGACAAACAAACCTCGTGAAAATAGCTTGACAACTGAGTGATTTATTATCACTTTTATTGTGTAGAAACACCATTCCTCCATAAATGTAATCATAGACATATAGACATACAGACATATATACATATATACATGTCTATATGTCTATATGTCTGTATGTCTGTATGTCTATGGATGCACTGTAGGAGCGAGTGGCCCTGCTCCAAGATGGCCGCCCTGTAGGCACGCCGCTCTAGTGGGCGGCAGCAGTCAGTGCAGTGTCTACCTGTATATGTCTATGGGAGTAACGGCTGGCTTGACCACAGTTAAAATATCACAGTCACTATCTCGAGATCTCGAATTAATTATATCGTTATCTCGGGAAAACGGAGGAAATAAAATGTATGAATACATGGCCCTGTAGGGCTTCCGTAGTGAAAACTGCCTGCAACCTATAACTTTAATCTTCTGACAGCGTTTAAGTCTAACCAGGCACAATGAATGTAAACATCTGTGAGAGAATACCATATCATTTTTGGTGCTGTAAGCTACCTTTTTCAAGTCCAAGTAATTTGAACTGTAAACAAATACAATAAAAAGTAACTCAAAACATCTTGAATGGGTGAATGGAAGTACAAGTACAAAAATAAAAGAATATATGAATACTAACCTATAAACTACATGCAGTTGTCATAACAGATAAAGCACGTGTAAATATCACCATTTAAGGTACACTTGGGCTCATTGTGTTATGACATGTTTCAGTCTCCTTCAGAGCCATTTGGCTCCATCTAGTGAACACTCATAGTTTGTATTTTCATCCTCATCAAAACATGTAGCCAGTCCAACAATGTGCATTTATTTTGTTTCTCCAGGAATACACAGAGAGAAGAGAGTAACAGTAGTGCACTGCATGATGTGTGTACAGAGGAGCATGACTGACTGACTGACTGCGTGTCTTAGAGGAGCTGAGCCTCTTACTTACACTTAACCCTTAGATGCATAAGTGGGTCTAAAATGACCCGGTGAGGTCGTTTTCTTGCAATACCTTTGTAATGAATAGTTGTTATTGTTTCATATTCCAGGTATTCCTCAAAAACATCTTATTATTAAATTTTTAACTTACCTTTTATACATTTTTCGAAACTGTAGTTTTTGTATTACTACCCCAAGCTTCCATAAGTGGGTCTAAAAGGACCCGCATTCATTTCTTATGGGACTTCATGGGAATCTTTTATTCTTGTAAACTGTGACTGTCAGGAATATGTATTTTGTGGACCACACAGACTATATCATAAGTGTCACCCCTTAAGAAGATTATTTTACACAGCAAGATCTGATACATGTAAGTATTGTCTTCTTTTTTACCTCAGAAATGTGTGTGCGTGTCATTCATGTCTACTGTGTGAAAGAGTTTGTGTTATTATCATCTATCAACAAGTTAGCCTACTTTAAAGTTAGCTCACTAGTGTGAGCTAACTAATAAAGTAGGCGCGCACGCACACACACACACACACACACACACACACACACACACACACAAAATGGATATTTACATCGTTATTTTGCTGTTGTGTCATTTTGTGATGTTGACAGTTTTCAAAACATTTTCCCATTTTTTTCAAAATGTTAAAAATGTTGAAAAACTGAAAAATAAAAATATTTGATACGTGTAATCATTCTTGTGTGGACCAAAATATAATACAAAGTATAATACAAATGATTATTCTTAATTAAAATGACAAAAATAGCATTAAAACCCATTGATTCTAATACGGGACCCTCTGAGGGAGGAGTGCAGGGTCCAGTCACTCATGCATCTAACACTTTACAGTTCAAAACTGGTTTTTGTATGGTTTGTTTTCCAGTTAATGGTATCTTGATTGTTAATCTACTCGCCTCCCTCGGCCCCTCCCTCTATATTTATTGGTAAACGGTAATGAAGATCCAGCCATTAGTAGAAGACCAGCATTGGACCGGAAATACGACGAATTTAGTATTAAAAATAAAATCCTAAAATATTGACTCCCTTTACATATGAGCAAATGCGCAAATATATATATATATAAATAGATGATTAATCTCAGTTTATCCTTGTAACAGAGCTCATGATACACAACATGGACTTGAATGGAACTCTTCTTGCAAACATACTGTGCTGTGGACAAAGTCAGTGGTGGAAAGCAACCAAGTAGGATACTTTTACTTTTACTTTTAAACAAGTACTGTATTTAAGTACAGCTTTGAGGTACTTCAGTATTTACATTTTACATTTCAAGGGCAAATATTGCACTTTTTACTCACTACATTTCTTAGTTACTACTTACTTTTAGATTCAAGCAAATAATACAAGATACAGTCAACAAATTAATTCTGAAGTTTTATTGTAGATGAAGTAGTCTATATAATGTAACGTCTTTCCTGATTTATTGATTCAAAAGCTAAAATAAGCTCCCCCTTTACCAGCTGCAACATGAAACCAATGAACACATTACATTAATCCAATAATATAACATGTATTATTCTGAAATTGGCCATTCTGCATAGTGATTACTTTTACTTCTGGTAATTTACTTTTGTACTTTTACTCAAGTAAATCTTTGAACGCAGAACATGTACTTTCTACATTATAGTAGTAGTTTTACTTAAGTAAAAGAGCTGAGTAACTCTCCCACCACTGGACACAGGTTATCTAGAGCTTGTTGCCTAAAAGGTTACTTAACCTTCAAATTACCTTTAGTCAACTGTCATCATTTTTATTTTTCTGTTGCAACTACATTTAGGGAAAAATCCATGCTTATTAATGATTTCCCTTATGCTTTTATGAGATTGCTTTTTGCCATGCTCAATCAGTGAACCAGAAAATGTATCTCATCTCAGTTAATCTCATATTGCGACATATTGGAGTTTCAGTTCTCAGTTCTCAGTTCAATATTCAGCAACTTTCGCTCTAATCGGCTATTCAGAAAACACGTTATGTGCTTTTAATTTGAAAGGTATAACCGGACGTTTTGAAATAATTCTGCGTCACTTGACACTCATGAGGCCACTTGATCAAACTGCCCCACCAGAAGCTGTTTGGGTCTAACAGAGGCAACTCGGGCGCAGAGTAAGATTTCCATTAAACACTTCAGAGAATAAACAAGTGAGCCCGGCGGCAAAAAGGGACATTTTTGTCTTCTGAAAGCTTAGAGACCAATTTGTTGCATTATGGACCCCAGCTCTGGAAGCGCCCCTCCACCAGAATGGTCTGGAGAGAAGTCCTCTATGGGCCAGATGCCCCCTCCACCCTACCACGACAACCCGGGCTACCCTCAGCCCGGCCCGGGCTACCCTCAGCCCGGCCCGGCGTACCCACCTCAGCCGCAGGTAAGAGCCCCAACCCCGGACCTCACTGATACAGACAAATGGAATAATTGAATGAGAGATAACAGCTTTTCTTTCATTACACTGCTAGCAACATAACGACAGTGCACTTGAATGGAACTTTATTCCAAAGTTGTTGTTTTTTAATTTGTGTTAATAATGTAGTTAACAGAAAAAATAACACGTTAAAGCATTTTCACATGTGTGTCACATCCCTTTATCAATGTAACTGTTTCCATAAAGGTCCGTAGTTTGCGTTTTTCTGTCCTATATTCCATATATTTTGGGCTTACAGACGGTAACATGTTAGTATTTGAAGGTTTTTGAATTATTCTTAAGTATTAGACTGGTCTTGACAGATAAGCGCTTATCATTGTGAAGAAAATGAATTATGGTCTTTATTAATTCATTGGACGTGTGAACTAATCGTCTATTGAACACGATTTGTACTTTCATACTATTATCTAACATGGAGGCTAATCTTATCCCCCTGTTTCTAAAATAAATAAAACACTTTGATATAATGGCCTGATGGGAAAAACCAGAGCAACCAAAATCCCCAGCAATCAATTCAAGCGTCTTAGTGCCTTAGTGGTTAAAATGTTAACGGCAAATCCGTTGTAACCACACCCTAAAGTAATTCATTTTCTCTTCCTCTTTTTGTTGTTTGTGTGAATCACAAGTAGCTCCCTGTTTTTGCCAAATCTAATCCAGTAATTCATAATAGAGACCCACCCACTTATAGTTTCATTTCATGTGAAGCCACTACTCCTTTTACTCCCCCCTCTGAACCTGTAAAACCACCTGCTTTCACATCATACCTGTTTCCTTTCACCTGAAAAGTTTGAATTGTATTTCACGTGTGTGGCCTGCAGGGCTACGGACCCCCGCCGCAGTATGGGGGGGCAGGATATGGACAGCAGCCGTACCCCACAAATCAGCAGTACCCAGGGAAGCCGGCCACCGTCACTGTCCAGCCCACAGTGTACGTGACTCAAGGCCCGCTGGTTAACCCTGTCAATGACTACATGTGCTACTCCATCTTCACCATGCTGTGCTGCTGCCTGCCGCTCGGAATCGCTGCCCTCATCTACTCCATCTCAGTGAGTTTGATTCAGCATTTTCTTTATGGACAGGAGCCGGAGCCGAGTCATTTCATTCTGAATATGTGCCAATATAGTCCATCCAACAGAAGAATGAGAGATACATTAAAACCAGTAAAAACAACCCCACCTAAAGGTCCACTGTGTAGGGTTTAGTGGCATCTAGTGGTGTCGCTGCTGATTGCAACACCCTCGCCATTCCAAGCATGTAGGAAAGGTGGTCCTCGAAACATGTGAAAGCCCCTATCTAGAGCCAGTGCTTGGTTTGTCCATTCTGGGCTACTGTAGAAACATGGTTCTTATTTCCAGGTGATTATACACTAATGAAAACACACCTATGAATAATATATAGAATAGATCCTCCTAAATGTTACACACTGGACCTTTAAGTAAGATATACTAAGAAAAACAGCCTTATCACAAACATGTATTGTATTGTTTTCCATTTTTTAATCCAAATATTGCAAAGAATAACATAAATAGCATTTACAAACAATAATAAGAACTGACCAAAAAGTCAGAATACTCAGAAGTCATATACCTACACCTAATACATTACTGCAGAGATGGAAAATAAATAATAATAATTTCAGTAGCATGAAACAGCAGTGCTGTAGATGTAAACATAAAGGCTATGATATTGGATGTTACAAATACAGATGCCACTGTTCTGTATTTTATTTTACTACTGTGGTCTTTAAATTATGAACGTTTTCCTAGGATTAGATTTTTTTACTGACTGCCTGACAGTGGTGATACGCATTATAATGCCCGATTCTTGCCAATACACAGCCCTAGTGTGCACGCAAGGGTGTTAAGTATGGGGAATTGAATGAGAGTTACTGTAAGGGGTGGAGTAAGTAGATGTCTTTATGGTTTTGAATGTTGTATTAGCTGAGTGGTACTCTAAACTACATCCTCAGTCTCTTTGATGTGCCTGACAAGCTTATGGCAGCAAACTCTTTCCTCTTTTAAATCAGTTATTATATTGTTATTGTTTAGTTTTTATGTTTATCTGTGTTTCTTTGCATTGTTTTAATCAGTCTTTTTGAAAAGTAGTAGTAATGCATTTTCCTATCAAGTTTCCTCCGCTTATGTAATGCGAAAAGATGTTAGAGCCATGTATCAATATGACCTGGAATGTAGTTTAAATACTTGAGAAGGACAGTTAAATGTCATACATCACAGCACTTCAGGTCTGATTCTTTAGTTTCTAGGAAGTCATGTATTTTTGTTGTCTGAGGTAACTCAGAAGGTTAATGAATTTGTTTTCTACACAGCGTCTCGTTAGAGTGCCCACTTCTTTAGGAGGAAGTTTGTAGATTGTTTCCATGTGGTTGGTGTTCCTCAGAGTGGAAAAAATTTCTCTGTGACTTCCTACACGTCTCTTTAACAAATTAAAAGCCAAATATAACGTTTATTTGGCCCTAAAACCTTTTAAGTATATTTACCATGAGCCTTCCTTGCACATGGAAAGTGGACTTGTTTTGAAGCTTTAAAGGTGCTATGAAAGTCTTTGATATGACTGATTTCCGATGTGGTTTGGCTTGTTTACGCACAATGTGTGGGATGAAACATCAATGAGGGTTCAAACATATACATATATTATGTATATAAATTGATTTATGAATTGTTTATTGTTTTTTGAAACAAATGCAATTTAGATCTGCTCATGCACACACTTGCATGTACAGTATAGTTGTAAAACTATCTACACATTATTTGCTAGCACCCTTAAAATCAGCATACTATAATATGTGTGTGCTGGTGGATAACTACTGACTGTGGCAAACCTCCTTTAGCAACAGTTGTGAAACTACTTTTAGACCAAGCCCAGATTCAGTAACCAGTCTTTACCTTGACGTTTAAAAACAACACACAAAATGGCGTCCGACAGCCTGACTGTTTACATGTCTCTGTCGTCTGAATCGATAATAACACAGCATACAAGAGCACAGTCCTCTCCTGCTCTTTGAACAGGCTCTGGTTAATATGTACAGGGAAAAGGCCATTAAATAAAATTATGTCCAGTAGGTCATTTGACTGCTGCCTGTCTGCATCATGAGACAGAATACACACAAGCATGCAACCTAATTTGACCTCTGCTTCCAAAGCTGTTACAGTAATAAACAGATAGTGTATGAGGCCCAACGCTGCGGGACTGAGCTGAGTACGATGCAGTGAAAGGTTGTGTGTACCTACTCATCTAGGATATGGGATTCACACGCATTCACACAACTAACAGTTTGGCTCAGTAACAACCGACTGACACTATATTTTTTTAAAGGAGGAGGATCTGTTGTCAGAAATGGAATATAATGTTCATAGGTTTGTTTTTATTCGTGTATAATCACCTGAATATGTGAATCGGTGTGTTTTCGCTCCCTTAGAAGGAGCCAGTTTTATCTACTCCTTCCATGGAGTCTGCCATGTTTCTACAGTAGCCCAGAATGGAAAAACCAAACACTAGCAATGGATGGCAATCTTTGTCCAAATATAGTGTTATAAAAATATTACATATTAGTTAGAGAGTTGATAGTTGTTAGGACATTAGCCAGAAATAGAGGAAAAACAGAGCGGCAGTCTGCCACATTTCAAGTCACATACTGTCTAATACTACTGTACCTAGACCTCACAGACCAGTTATATTAGTAAAAACTTGCAACACTGTGGGGACATCAACTAAATCATCAACATTTTCCAGATTCCAAGCGAACGGTAATGTGTATAGTTAGAACAGAGCTGTGAAATTGGCCCTTGTATTGGTACATCTGCACAGTAAGCTCACTGTAATTGATGTAGATGATATAAAATGGCTGCCTTTTCCTGAAACTTTGCACGTCCAAATTGCAGCAATCAGCGACTGTGTGGAAAACATGATCTTCAGCACGTAGAAAGTTACGTAAGGTCAGGCCAACAGACTTCCCTTAGTGTATTTATATTGACCAGCTGGTCCAGACTTTACGTGTTAAAAGCAAACTATTTAATGTTGCTCAGTCCAGCTTCCTTGTAATGAGAGATGTTTTGCAGTCCTGTACTTTCTGTATGGAGCGCTTCAGCTATGTGATGTCTAAACAGGTTTATATCTCTTTGATGGACAGAGGAGATTGCAGCAGATTTTAAGGTTTATGAGGTCTAAGGTTCAGGAACAAGAAATGTTTGTCATTTGGGTCTTAAGGGTGAAGGTGCTTTGTCAGAAGATTGTGTTAAAATGAATGATCTTGTCACATGGTTTCTAAAGTACAATAATGGCTTGCTCATTGACCCAGACATAGTCAGATCAAGCGTGATCCTGAGAGGGTTGGAAACAGAACTGTGTTGGTGTACATTCAGTTTCAGCTCATTTGCGTTAAGCCTTGTGGAATACCCCAATATGATTTCATGTGTTGCTGTATTTACTTACAACCTGCCTTCCTTGTCTTTCTAGTCACAGTTGTTTCTATAAAGTAACTCAATCTCTATTCCCATCCACTTTGTTGATGGCATGTTACGTGTTTTTAGATTGAGCAATAACAGTAACTAATAAGTGCATTTTGCCAGTTCATTTGTATCACATTTTAAAACAGCAGCTTCCATATGGATCCACTCATATAATGTACAGTGCAGACGTAATAGAGATAACTAAATTAGATTTGTAGTCTGGGATGCGAACAGGGGGAAAAAAAGTAGTTAATACAAAGTTGTGTACATAGTGTAATAAATTGGCTGTTATGTACACAGAGTAACAGGTTGCAGTTGCCATGATGCATTTACACACTTCATACTGGCATTCTACAGGAAAGACACACACAATAAAAACTCATCTATATCAGCACAGAGGAGACAGTGTCTGCAAGATGCCTGTAAGAACTGTTCTGATTGGGTAATTGGTTGGCAGGCACAAAAGCTTTAGGTTATCTAGTAGGTGTCATGACAACATATATGAATGACAATAAAAAGGGCTTATTTTAAACACTGATATAATTAATCATAAAATGGTGTTCATTCAAATTTTTCATATGCATTAGATTGTGTGGACAATTTTGTTGTCTATGTAACATAAGTTTGCTAACAAATTATTACAATCTATCATCTAGCCATCCAGTAGTGGTCGAAATTTGTCACTCAAAACCAAAAAACAGAGCACCAAAGTCATCCTCTGAGGACCATGAATGTGGGTACAAAAATACCTATGTCAGTCCAGACTAAAGCAGTGCACAGACCGACTTGATTGATATTGCCATCTGTAGAGCTACTTGCTAGCATGGCTAAAAACAAAAAGCCAACCATACTGAATACCTTGGCGCTCTCACAACTCAGTCTCTTAAACGCAACAGAGTGGGTATATGGGATTGTCTGACCAGCTTCCCAGTGCTGACTGACCTGAGGTTCTACCCTGTATTGGGTCGAAGGTAAGATAAATCCTCCCCAGTCAGCCATTTTGGTGTGGTGTTCCAATATTTGGCCACATAACTGTAATAACATTTGTGGTAGCATTAATGATGTTTCGAGCACACATCTTTGATCTAGTATGCACAATTGTCCTCAGTATGAGAAAAAACACACACATGCTAATAATCCTGGGTTCCAGAGGGAGTATATTTTAACATGTATTCTAGGGAAATATAAGGATTTAAATCAGTGGTGAGCAGTAGACATTTCTTGATCCTTAGTACAGTAGGGCTGCTCAATTATGGAAAAAATCATAATCACGATTATTTGGGTCAAAATTGAAATCACGATTATTCGAAAGATTATTTTTTTAAACTTCAGAAACATGCTGCATTTATTGGACATTTGTCAAAAACACTTTGCAAGGAAGTCCTCAGTTACACTTCCCTTTCCCCATAAACATTTGTAAGTCTCCTTTTTACATTGACAGTCATAGTGCACTCTTGCAATCTCTACAAGAAGTTAAATTAAATAAAATAACACACAAAAGGTAAGCCATAGAAAAACCATTTGTTTTCTCACATTTTAGTGCACTGCCACAACACAACATTTGATTGATTTCATTACCT